GTAATTTATTGAGAATTCACTGGGAATTTACTAAATAATTTACTGAGAATTTACAGAGAATTTACTAAGTAATTTACTGAGAATTTTTCGAGAATTTATTGAGTAATTTACAGATAATTTATTGAGAATTCACTGAGAAATTTACTGAAATTTACGGAGTAATTTACTGAGAATTTATCAAGAATTTACTGAGTAATTTACTGAGAATTTGCTAGGAATTGACTGTGTAATTTACTAAGAATTTTTTAAAAATTTATTGGGAATTTAATGAGTAATTTACTGAGAATTTAATGAGAATTTAACAGGAATTTACTGAGTAATTTAATGAGAGTTTACCGAGTAATTTATTGAGTAATTACTGAGAATTTACTAAGAATTTACTGAGTAATTTACTTAGAATTTACTGAGTAATTTTCTGAGAATTACTGGGAATTTACTGGGTAATTTCTTGAGAATTTACTGAGTAATTTCCTGAGAATTTACTAGGAATTTACTGAATAATTTACTAAGTAATTTGCTGAGAATTTATTGGGAATTTACTGAGAATTTACTAAGCAATTTACTGAGAATTTACTGGGAATTTAATGACTAATTTGTTGAGATTTTACTGAGTAATGTACTGAGTAATTTACTGGGAATTTTCTGAGCAATGTACTGAGTAATTTACTAAGAATTTACTTAGTAATTTACTAAGTAACTTAGTTAGAATTTAATTAGAATTTATGGGGAATTTACTGAGTAATTTAATGAGAATTTATTGGGAATTACTAAGGAATTTACTGAAAATTTATTGAGTAATTTACTGAGAATTTACTGGGTATTTTTTTTAGAATTTATAAGGAGTTTACTAAGGAATTTACTGAAAATTTATTGAATAATTTACTGAGAATTTACTAGGTATTTTTTTTGAGAATTTACAAGGACTTTACTGAAAATTTACTGAGTAACTTATTGGGAATTTACTAGGAATTTAGTGAGAATTTACTGAGTAATGTACAAATAATTTACTAGGAATTTACTAAGTAAGTTACTGAGTGATTTACTGAGAATTTACAGAGAATTTACAAGAATTTTATTGGGAGATTTACTTAGTAATTTCTTGAGTAATGTACTGAGTAATTTTTTGAGTAATTCACTGAGAATTTATTAGGAATTTACTGAGTAATTTATTGAAAATTTACTGGGTATTTACTTAATAAGTTATTGGGAATTAACTGAGTAATTATTGAGTAATTTACTGGGAATTTGCTGAGTAATTTACAGAGGATTTACTGAAAATTTATTGGAAATTTACAAGTAATTTTCAGTTATTTGCTGAGAATTTACTAGGATTATACTAAATAGTTTACTGAGAATTTACTGAGTAATATACTGAAAATTTACTGAGAATTTCATGGGAATTTACTGAAAATTTTCTGAGAATTTACCTAGAATTTATTAAGCAATTTACTGAGAATTTACTGGGAATTTACGAAGTAATTTAATGAGAATTTACTTAGTAATTTATTTAGAATTTGCTGTGAATTTACTGAGTAATTTACAGAGAATTTATTGAGAATTTATTGAAAATTTATTCAGAAATTACTAAGAATTTAATGAGAATTTATTAAGTAATTTACTGAATAATTTACCGAGTAATTTCTGAGAATTTACAAAATAATTTACTGGGGAGAATTTACTGAGTAATTTACTTAGAATTTACTGAGTGATTTACTGAGAATTTACTGAGAATTTATTGAGTAATTTACAGAGAATTAACTGAAAATTTACTGGGAATTTACTGAGTAATTTTCTGGGAACTTACCGAGTAATTAACTGAGAATTTATTGGGAATTTATTTGTAATTTACTGAGAATTTACTTGGAATTTGCTGAGTAATTTACTGAGAATTTACTTAGAATTTACTAGGAATTTGCTAAGTAATTTATTGAGAATTTACTGGGAATTTACTGAGTAATTTACTGAGAATTTACTAAGTAATTTGCTAAGAATTTCTAGAGTAATTTACGAAGTAATTTACTGAGAATTTACTGGGAGTTTACCAAGTAATTTACTAGAATTTATTGAGTAATTTAATGAGAATTTACTCGGAATTTTCTAAATAATTTACTAGGAATTTACTGAATAATTTACTGAGAATTTACTAAGTAATTTACTAATAATTTATAGGGAATTTACTGAGTAATTTATTGAGAATTTATTGAGCAATTTACTGAGAATTTACTAGGAATTTACTGGATAATTACTTTGTAATTTACTAAGAATTTACTGGGAATTTACTAAGAATTGACTGAGTAATTTACTGATTAATTTGTTGAGAATTTAGTGGGTAATTTACTAAGAATTTACTGAATAATTTATTGAGTAATTTACTGAAAATTTACTGGGAATTTACTGAGTAAGGTACTGAGTAATTTACTGAGCAATTTACTGAGTAATTTACTGAAAATTTACTAAGAATTTACTAAGTAAGGTACTGAGTAATTTGTTGAGAATTTATTTTGTAATTTACTGAGTAATTTAGTTAGAATTTATTGAGAATATACTGAGTAATTTAGTTAGAATTTATGGAGTAATTTACTGAAAATTTATTGAGAATTTACTGAGTATCTAATTAATTCGATCTGAATCAATTTTTAATTGAATTTCATAATAGACTCTAAAAATTACGCTGATCATAATAAAGTAATCAATTTTGGTTTATGTCCCCTTTACAGCTCTCAATTTCAAATTTTAGCAGGATTCAGAGCAGATTTTGATTCAAAACTCTTACAAAACACATAATTAGCATTCAATTCACACGTGGCACATATCACAATTAAAATTAAACACATAATTAAATTAATGTAATCATGATATTCATTTTGGGGTCATTACACCTGCTCATAAATTGGCTGGCAAGCCAGCCAATTATTTTGGCCCTGCTGCTCATTGAGTGGTCAGGCTAAAAAAGGGTTTTAGTCCTAATGTGGTGGAAGGCTTGGTTTTGAAGCTCGAAACTGAATTCTTTTGCTGAAGATTCGAAGAATTTGCACAATATAACTTTCATCATCGAGTGTTTGGATTAAAGCTGAAGTCTTAAGGACGGTCAAAATGGGGTGTCTACAGACTGCTAGAAACAACTTTGGAATTTTAATCTTCCCCCTAAATGGGCTCTTTTTTATTTGGAAAATTTTATATAGAATTTTTCCAGTTAAGGTCTTTGTAACTTTCATCATCGAGTAGAGACTGATCTTAGTTGCCCACGATGTTTAGCAAATGAGGAATCTGTTGAGCATTTTTGTTTTCAATGTCCATACTCCCAATATGTATGTAGGGGCTCTCGGTTGGGGCTCTCAGTTGGGTCAGGATTTTAATATTGGTGAAGTTGTGTTAGTCCAAGTATGGCTGGAAAATTGGTTTAGGATGCTCCAAATGAGGAAGCAGTGGCAGAATCAATTGAAGTCTGGTGGGGTCTCTGGGATCAAAGAAACAAAGTTGTTTACGAGGGGGTGGTTGATAATCCACATCAGGTTATTCAAAATATCAATCAACAAGTGTGGTGTCCCAATGATCAAGAATGCCGAAAACTTCAGGGATGGATTAATTCATCTAGCAGCCCTTCTTGTAATTCAGAGAATGCTTTTACTGCTGTTAACAATATGTTTTGGCTGCCAGATCCGTGTTTTGACAGGATTTTGATTGATGGAGTATGGATGAAGCACACAAAACAAGCTGGAGTTGGATGGGTTGCTTTGGATAGTAGTGGTAATGTTGTTGCGTACAAACAATACACTTCTATGGCCCTCTGTGCGTTAATGACTGAAGTAAAAGCATGTTTTCAAGCTTTGCAATGGTGTGTCCAACAGCATGTCAAGGCTATCACTATCCTTACGGATTGTCAAGTGTTTATTCAGAAGTTTAAAAAGGTCGACACGGCAGATTGGGAGATTTATGTATGTATATCCAAGGATCCTAGGAAGGTAGCGGAAGCAGCACATGTAGCTGCTAAGATTGCCTTCCATAAGAGCCAACTACTGTTTGTTACTTTTCATATTCTATAATATTTTATCTTTTCTCAAAATAAAAAACAAAAAAAATAAAATAAAAAACTTTCAAAAATCAATTTTAAAAAGTCAAAATTCAATCTAAATGAAGCCCGCCCATCATCTAGCACAATAGAGAAACTCCAGGGTTCATTTGATAGAACGAGTAACAGTAATAAAAAGTGCAGTGAAATAAAATTTTATTTTCTATGTATTTGGTTATGATGAAACTTTTATGTCTATATTTATATATATATATTTATAATTACTACAAAAAATTTTATATATTTTTTTACATGAAATTAAAAAATTAGTTATCATATTGTTCTTTTTACTTTTTTACATATTTTTTATAAAATTAAAAAATTAATTAAAATAGTCAATTTCTAAACAGTGCCTAGTATTATTTAATGTTCAAATATAAGTAATGCTATGGGTGTGTATTATATGCAAGTCATAACATTTGTAAATTTGATTATTACAAATGTCATAACTCAATTTTATAGTCGAGAGAATGTAAATATTATATTTGCAGTCAAAAAAAATAAAATATATATATATAAATTATAAACAAATATTAGATGAAATATAACTAAACAATACTTAGATCATAACCAAAATAATGTTCATAATTAACGTCACAATCTGTCATAACTAACGCCAAGTAAGTCATAACCAAAGACAAATCGTAACCAAAGATGCATACGGTACACACACACCCCTTGTTACCACACCTTTGCTATTTTTTGTTATGACCTATTTTGTTATTAATTATGACTTATTATAATGTTAGTTATGATCCAAGTGTTATTTAATTATACCTTATGTCATGTTTAATTATAACTCTTTCTTTTTTAATTATTTTTAGTTATTACTCCCATAAATTTATACAAATGAAATAACTTACATACTCTATTACCCTATACATATATATATATATATATGTGTGTGTGTGTGTGTGTGTGTGTGTGTATATTTTCTCTTTTCTACTACTAATCCAACTCATCCTAATAAACCTAATATAGCCATTGTTATGTTACAACTTAAAAATCCAAGGTCTACGCGCTCTACACCTGTCCAGAGCCAAGTGAAGCATTGGCTAAATGCCAGTAAATCTGTCGTGATCTACACGCTTTATATGTTCATATTGTATGCAACATGATGGTTAACCTTGACAAACTTGTGTCCACTATGTAATTACCCAACAATTGTTTGCATAGATCACACTACGCATGACCAAGTTGTGAAATTAACATTCAGTGTGCAAGGAAGGGAAGGGCATTTAAAACTCAAGATGCCAGTGTTGTACTCGGGCAACTGTCCACAGTGCAGGCCAGGATGTCTCTATAATCCCGTGATATTCTGAATGAGTCGTAAACATTCCCATCCCTGCTTTTCTTGTACTCCAACAAAAGGTTTGAATGGTCGAATGCAGTGAGTTTTACGAATCCATAATCATGGTCTTTGAAGACACTCCACTTGGTTTGAAGGCTAGTAAAGTCCGCAAGGCTTGCTCCACCGCCCCCAGCAACTATATGAATTGTCCCATTCAAGCTGCCCTTATAATAGTGCTTCTCTTCATTCGTGCAAATGTTCTGTAGCAACAAAAACAAAAACCACCACCAAAATGTTAGTTATAACTTGTTAGAGAGTAGAACAAGTTGATTTTATTTAAATCAACATCTGAAATATTTTATTTATTCCGTATTAAGTGAAAGCTTAACAAACCCCTGATGTTGTGAGAAAGACAAAATATTCTGCTATGATTTCTCAATAATCATTTCTTTAGTTATTTCTAATAGCAAATTTCTTGAACTTCCTTTTCCCTTTCAGTTTTATCCTTTCTTTGGTAGAACCTGAACCATGGCACACCTTGCCAAAACATAAAGTAGCACATGTTTTCAGCTACTGGAAACATAATATTCGTGCATCCGAAGAAATTATTTTAGTGAAGCTTTTGTCTTACATCAATCTTTTCCCTCTACACCTCCAGAACACCATTTTTCTGGTCATCCAAAGTCATTCTCCCAAGAAAGCAATCAGTGTTGTAGGCTAGTAGCAAGTATAAGCAAGCAAACTTAAAAATTGTCCAAAAGACATTTCCACTTTCAGGGTGTTTAGGAAGTTAGATGGAACAAAAGATGAGAGCCAACTTTTCTTTAGAGTGGTTCCAGGAAAAATATGTATATATATATAAACAGAGCATTCAATCATTTGATTTGTAGTTAAGAATACCTGGTAAATGGGACATGTCCTCTCATAGTTATGCACATGGCCATAGATGGCTATGTCAACCTTGTACTTCTGCCAAAGTTTCTGAAGACTCTCCCTCCCCATTGGTTCCTCGAAGGATCCTTCATCAGCATACCAATCAGCAGAAGAATAACCCAATACTCGATGCGCAAGGAAGATCAGCCACGGTTGTTTTTGTCTATCAACGGATGCCAGACAGTGCTGAATGAAGTTAAATTGCTCCGTTCCCTCTCTCCAATCGTGTTCTGTATCAGCTATGCAGAATCGAAACATGCCATAATCAGTGGAATACCTGGCAGCAAGAACATAATAGCACTTGAGCCAGTAGTTCCTTGTAAATCTAGAAACGAAGGAAATTTGGTGGAATGTGCACTGAGGTTGGACGCTTATTAATTTTACATATAAATCATTTCAAAATTAATTTTCTATGGCCAAGAAGAAAATCTGTGGACACAACAAGCATGAGCAAGAGTGTGAAGTAGTTTTTAAAGACATTAAATAGGGTAAAATACAGTGACACCCCTTATATAATTCTGAAATCACACTGTCACCTCTTTATTATCCAAAATCACCTGGACACAACAAACATGAGCAAGAGTGTGAAGTAGTTTTTAAAGATATTAAATAGGGTAAAATACAGTGACACCCTTATATAATTCTGAAATCACGCTGTCACCTCTTTATTATCCAAAATCACCCTGACCTCCCTTGTCAGAGAACTCAGTTAAATGACATGATAAAATGATCATAATATCCCACCCACCCATACACTTTTGCAGCCCTTTTCTTTCTTCTCTCTCTATTTTTCTCTTCATTAATATGACACAACTCACCTTCTGAACCTGAACCACCATTCCCACTACCTCACAACTCCATCATGGACCATTCTCTTTATTCTTCTCTCTCTTTCCTCTTTCTTATATTTGTCCTAAAACAGGCAAACGAACAATTGCTGTAGCCATTCGTCTAAACCAGACTAGTCATCCATCTCATCTGCAAGCATGATTGCTGACAATTGCTCTACTGATTTTCTGTCAGCAATGATTGTCAGCATCCCATCCACAGTCACCTTCTTCTCATCTGCAACTGTGATTGTCGCAACCGCGTAGCCTTATCATCCACCACCAGCGCAACACAACGCAGCCCCAATGACGATTTCCGCAGTCGTCCAGCGCAATCACAGTGAACCCATCGTCCATGGAAACTCATTGTCCACCATGAGCCACAGACCCACCATCTCTCTCTTCTTTACCATATTCTCTGTAAATCACCAAAATAAGGTTTGATTTATATGTATGATTTTGTAGGTTCTGGTTAAATTGTGTATAATTCGGTTCATTTTGGGTGGTTGGGATGGGGATAGGACTGGGTTTGGAGCAGTGGGAGTTGAAGAGTGTGGAATTGTGGGTATGGAGGGGCTAGTGGTTTGGGTTCTGGATGGTTGAACTATGGGCGTGGAGGTGTCGTGGTGGGTTAAGGTGGTTTCCGATGGAGGAAGGGGCTAGTGAAGGCCATGAGTTTTGAAGATGCTTGAAGGACCTCCTTCACATGCCTTTGCCATAACAATGCACCACTCTGTTTCACATTGTATAATTTTCATGATACACTTTCAACAATAATTTAAGTGTTCTTTCATTTTTCTTTGCCAATTTATTGTTTGATAAAATGTATGAACCGCAAAATGTCTTTGTTTTTATTATAGTCTACATGATCATTTACATTCAATTCAAGCTGTAAGTATGCTTTTAGTTATCTAATGAAATGCCTTAAGTTAATTCTTCTTTTAATTTTTGTTCTAATTTGTTCTGATTGATCAACTCATCTCATTCTTCTTTTAATTTTTTTTTTTTGGGGGGGGGGGGGTAGCCTCCCCTCCTTATGTTTTGTTTACTAGCTTAACATGTTCCATGTTTTAGTATATTAATCTAGCTATTTCTAACTTAATTCCAGCACATTTTAAGACTTGTTTTGAACTGTTTTAGGACTATTTTGGGCTGGTTGTGTCCTTTGGGCTTTATATTGCATAGTTGTAGTGTAAGTCCTTTCACTAGCTTGGTGTTTTAAGGCTTTAACCACCATTGGTTTGAGTTGAGTGCATGTTTTAGTGTATTTTCTCACCTAATTTTAGCCCATATAATCTTTGCAATCTCCCTCATTTCTTCACTTTTTCATTTGCTTTGAGGGTTGTTTCAACCTTAGGGTTGTTTAAGCTTGAGATTAAGGCTCATGCTTAATGGTATAATCATCCTTTGAGGGTTCATTACCAACGGCATGAAGCTATTTGATGGAATCATGTGCATACTGTTGAAGATAAAATTATATTATCAAAGATTTTAAAGATATTAGAATATATGGAGATTTCATGATTTGTGCTTATCATGATTTTTCCTAACTTTAATTTCTCTTAATCCCTTAACTGAAGGGATCTGATGTTAGGGGAAATATCAAAAACATGGTGTAGGATAAATAATTACAAAGTAATGGATGTACAAGTGAATTATGCATTGGATTGTGAAAATAAAACTTGTTTTTCGTACTCTCCATGTTTTTCATATTCCCCCTTGATTGTATCTCTTATTCTATTTTTATGGTGTACCATGTAATCAGGATAATCGAGTGAATGAATGAAAGATGGAGCCCATGGAGTTTTGTGTGTGTGGATGTAGGTCAATATTGGCCGAACCACATTAACCATTTGTGTTCTTTCTTTTATCTTTTCTGTCTCTATTATCTCTGCATATTCAACTTTATTTTCTTATTACAAAATTCAACTTGGTATTGAAGCATCTGATCCCACCCTTCCGAATTTTGACGTATTTTCAGACCTTTTTTGGCCCTATTTCATTCTGCTCTCCTGCTTTCTCCCATTTGATTTCTTCATTGGTTTTTCTTCCTTGGGTGTCAACTTGGCAAAGGAAGGAGTTCCTTCCAGTTTGTTTTGTTGCTTTCCAGCACTCCTTATTGTTCAATTTTGGTGGTTTTGTGCTTGGATGTCCTACCCAATTGATTTCTTCTGAGGTACATGTTCTCTAGGTGTTGATTTGATCCCTAGAGTGGTTTTGTGGTCATGGTTTGTTGATAGGCTTCGGCTTGCCAAGCCATCCTTGGTTGCCGGCTGGTTTTCTTCACGACAACTGTCTCTCTTGCTGCTTCTGTTGATGCCCTTTGTTTTATTTAGGCTTGAAAACCCTTGTTTGGGGTGCTGATTGGGCTTATGAACCCCTGTATTTGGAAACCCTTCCCCGGGTGTTGTTTTGGTCTCTAGATTGGCTATTTTTTGGTGTTCTTGAAGCTTGTTAAGGTTCAGTTGTTACTATTTCTTGTTGCTTCTCCCTCAATTTGTCATTTACGGAGAGAATAATCTCTATTTGCACAATGTTGATTATGTTTGTATTGTGTCTGCACGAAGTTGATTCCATGCACATTTCTTTATTGCAAGATGTTGATTCCTTACCTAGGTTCTTCCAAGTTGTTATTGAGGGGAGAAATCACAATTGTTGTCGTTTTTTGACAACTTCATTGTAACTGTTTGTGATGATCATCCTATTTTCAAGTTCAAGTTCAAGTTGGACACATCACTTCAAATGTTTTGTGTTCCAACTTGAAGGGTGAGTATTGAAGATAAGAGCATATTCTTAAAGATATGGAAAATATTAGAATATATGAAGATCTCATGATTTGTGATTATCATGATTTTTGCTATTTTTGATTTCTCTCAATTCATTAATTGAAGGGAGTTCAACCTGGTTTGTTCAGAGGCCACTTCCAGCATGGCTTGATAGTCACTATTATGGGGGAATCGAGGCTCCTTGATTAACCATGGGAGAGACTGAGAGATGTGAGGGCAGTTGGCATGGTTTGCTGGACTCTCATTGTTTATAGATGTTGTGCTTGCTAGGATTCCTCCATGGGGCTAGATTCTTTCTTCTATGTCATGGCATGTCCTGGCTATGAGGCGGTGTTTGTTTTTGAGTACCGTAGGCCTTGTCTACTATTTCAGATCAATTCGTTGTATTCCTAAAATTGACCATGCAGCTTCATGTGACACATAGGTGATGTTCTTATGCCACTTCCGACATGACTTGAGAGTGATTGAGAGGGTCACTGCTATGGGGAATTGAGGCTCTTTATCAGCGGGTCATTGCTATGGGGAATCGAGACTCTTTATTAGTCGTTGTAGAGACTAGGGGTTGCGAGGACAATTCGTGGGGTATGGTTGGTTGCGCTTGTTCTTACAGACGATGTGCCCATTGGTCTTGTTTGTTGTTTCGGTTGTTAGTTTGGTGGTGGAATGAGCAAAACTTAGGTTTATGTATCATTTGTTATTTGTCATTTTGTTATTGTTGCCAATATATCGCTCCTAGGGGCATAATACATTGGCAACACATTATGATAACTTTTGTGCTTTGTTTGATATCCCTCCTAACTATTTTAGTGGGGTGGTGTTGGAAATTGTATTGACATGTAGTTTCCTGGGGTATGCCTCTTGTAGACATGTATATTTCATTGTTTTATTTATGACTTACCCAAAAAAAAATAGAAAAAATGTAACCCATAGAGCTTTGTGCGCGTGGACACAAGTCAATATTGGCCAAACTACATTAATCATTTGTGTTCTTTCTTTCATCTGTTTTGTTTCTATTCTCTCTTGATATTCAACTTTATTTCCTTATTACAAAATTCAACTCATACAATTATCAAATCAATCTTATTTTTTTTCATGGATCATCTCCACAAAAGAAAAGAAAATAAAAATAAAAATAAACAGCTCAGAATATCGATGTAGCCCGAGTAGGGCACACCAAAGCACACTGTTGGGGTCCAGTCCTCTCTCCCAACTGCAGAAAAGCTGGACCCCCTAACCAAATTGCGCCTGTGCTGCCCTTCTGAAATTAATAACAATAAATACACCATCCTACATCGGAAGTTGTTCAAATATTTGCGATATTACTGTAGTTCATGCATTCAACGATTCTACAGAATTCACATATATCATTTAAGATGGCCTACATTTATATTCTCTACTTAAATGTAGAATTTAGAGAGAGTACTATCAAGTGGTGGAAGGCAAAATGTGAGAAAGTAAAATCTTTAAACATATATGCCTATATATGTGCATATTAAACAAAAAATTAAAATTAAAACAACTATCTAACTAGTTGTTATTATAATGTGTCCCATACCAGAATTTATCCCTGTTCTCAGCAGGAACATAGAACATCGTCTCGGCTAAGACACCACACTCTCCTCCTGAATCCATGTTCCCATAGAAGGAACCTGTTCCCGGCCAATCACGCTCATGATTACCGCTGCACAGATAAATCATCAACCAACACAATATATGCTCCACCAAAATCATCCAGTTCAGTATTTATATGCTCTAACAATTTTTGCAAAAAGTTCCAACAAACCTCGCAACCATGTAAGGCACAGTTGAGGCAATTGGCTCAATTTGTGCAGTAAAATCACAGCTGGCACAAAATATCTACAAAAAGTAGATGAACAGTAGTCGGTTGCCCAAAATTGCCATTTTGACAAAAAAGAGTGAAGACCGGCAACAAATAATGTCGACCGGCAGTATATATTGCCGACGGCAACAAAACACCAGCCGGTGGCCTCTGGCCATGGCCGGTGATGTGTGGGGATGCCTCACTAGGCATTCCCTGCCCCTCCAAGGCAAAACACAAGTGTTTGGTGCAAAACCAGACACTAAACAGTCGAG